ATTCTATAGATGATGAAACTGAGGCACCAAGAGCTTAGTGAATTGCCCAAGGCACACTGTTAGTAAATGGTAGAGCTGGGATTTCTGCATTGGCAGTGAGGCTCCAGGGTATACTGACAACCAGTACATTATCCTGAATTTAAAAGTGGTAGCTGTTATTATTAATTATAATAGAATTATAATATCTAAAATTGATGTGCCAGGAACATGCTGGCTTGGTGCATTTGCTCAGTAGTTCTATGAGGTAATTTCTTTTGTACCCCAACTTTATAAAGGGGCAAATAGAGGCAAGAAAATTTACGTTATTTGCTTAAGGTCACAGAGCTAATAAGTAGCAGACCTAGGATTCAAACCCAGGCAGCCTGGTGTCAAGGCCTTCCTTCTTAAACACTCTATCATCTATGTGTCGATGAGGATGATGGAGAAGAGGAGGAAGAAGATGAGGAGGAGGAAAGGAAAGGAAGCAGGGGGAGGGGGAGGAGGGGAAGAAAACAAATGGACCTTACACTAACCACCTATGATGTGCTCAGGTGTCAAAGGCTGAGCCGACCCATCGGACTCCCTCCCTATAGACTATGACACAGAGAAAGAGCAGGAGAGTGACATCTTTAGCAGTGGGAGTAGAAATCATAAGAAATAAACAAAGAAGACCAGAAAGTAAAGCCCAGACAGAGTTAAAGGAAGCTGAAGCCACGAGGTAGGACAGACTGCGCATCAGACCCCAGCCTGGTCTGCAGCCTTCCCGTGGTGAGGGAGGAATGTAAACTCATTCCCAGGCCCAAACTCAGAGGCTCTGGTTCAGCAGGCCTGGAAGGGGCCGGGTGCCCGCATCCCTCGTGCCCACCTGAGGAGCCTCTGAGGTGGTGATGGAGACTAAGCAGGATCCCCTCTGATGGGATGAGGAAGCCTGTCCATTGGGAGAGAACGGAGCGTGTGTCTGATCCCGCACTGCTCACCCAGACTCTCCATCCACGCCTCACATTTCCCAGCCCCCTGCTGGGTCAGACCACGTGATTATTTCTAGCCAGTGGGGCTGTGGGCAGAAGGGACACCTGCCACTGCCTGGGTAAAGTGTGGAAGAGCCAGTGTGTGACCCTCCAACTGTACCTTCCCTGCTGTGGCATCCAGCGACATCCCAGATGGTGGCTGGGTCCCTGTGCAGGAGCACCCTCCCTGACCACCCAGTGTGTAAGCCACATAGTGTGAGCCAGGAATGGACCTTGGTGGTGTTGAGGCCATGAGACCTCAAGATTTGTTTGTCACAGTAGCAGAGCTGAGCCCACTTCTCAGTGACACATGGAAACACAGTAATGCTGGAGCGACAGAGTGAACTCTTCTAGATCCAGACCTACCCTTCACCTCCCAGAGTGCCTGCTCTTGGATTTTGATCAGATTCTACCTGTCTTACCCTCTACCTATCTTTACAGTAAGCCCCTCCTGAGTTAGTGCCTATTCCTTGCAGCTGGTGTGCCACACTAGAAAGCTATCCAGCCTTACATGGGGTGGTGGCTTTAAAACATGTCTGCAAATTCTTTGATGTCCCTCCCATCAAGAGGTGATCTAATTCTTCTCCCCCTGAATATGAGCTGGCCTTGGTGCCTGGTTTCTGCAGCATAAGATGCAACAGATGTGACACTGTGTGACCTCCAAGGCTAGATTATAAAGGCAATACAGCTTCCTCTTGGCTCTCTTCAGATGTTGCTCTTGGTTCCCAGCCACTATGCTAAGAGGACGCCAGGCCACATGGAGGGGTCATGTGTAGGTGTCCCAGCTGACAGCCTCAGCTAAGGTCCTAGGCAACTGCCAGCGTTAGACATGTGAGTAAGCCTCTGAGATGCATTGAGCCACAGATACCATCTGACTGCAACCACTTGAGAGACCAAAAGCAAGAACTGCCCAGCTGAGCCCAGTCAATCCCCAGAACAGCGGGAAATGTGATCTACTGCAACAATGAATGGTTGTTGCAATAATAAAATGACTGTTGTTGTTTTAAGTTTGGGAGCATTCTGTTACACACCAGTACACAGCCAGAACAGGCGGGCTCTGCAAGGTGTCACGCCTGGCCCAGGGCTGGAAGCTGGCACCAGGTAAAGGTGAGCCTCTAATCCTTTCTGGTTGTAAGTCCTGAACTGCGTGAGACCTGAACTGCCTCTATCACGTCTTGAATTGCTCTTCTGCTCCTAATTTTTCAGTCTCTGACCTCATCGATCCTTTTCCCATCTATGTCCCCTTCTTTCCTCACCCTTGGATGAATGGCTTGGGTGGATAGTCCTGTTTTGCCTGCCTCAGCAGACTAAACCCCAGATTTTCCTTTGTGAGACCATGATCCACAGGCTCCCTCTGGTGCTCACTGGCTGTCCTGGACCAACATGATCTGCAGCCCGGCCCTCTGGGAACCCACACTGAGGATGTCATTCACTTCAACTCCACAGTCCCCAGCGTCTGGGCTAGGTCTGAGTTTGTTCTCACCTGGGATCAGGAACTGAACATTGGTTCCAGATGCGGTTTCTGGAAAACAACAAATACCCCAGATGAGGGGCAGGTTTATCTTCCCAGATTGGCAGAGGGGGAACTGGCAGGTGGTTTTGGTCCAGGGGCCCAGCTGTGGGAAGCTGGGAGAGGCAGAGGGTGCTAGTCGTTGGCACGGGGCATGGGAAACCAATGTCTTTGCTACTTTGCAATGCCAGGCAGATATCGTTCCTATGATGATTGCTAACAAACTTGTTTATTTGTAATTGTCATAGTTTCACAAATCGGCATATTTGTGATTACATAGCAATAATAACCAGCTGTCATTTGTTAGCCTTTACAATGCTATCTGCTGTGTAAAGTGAGTTATGTGCATTATCATATATAATATTGTAGAATAATCCTATGAGATAGATACTATTATTATCCTTTTTTTTACAGATGAGGTAACTGAGGCTCAGAGAGGTTGAATAATGCATCTAAGATCAAAAAGGAAGTAAATGGTGGAGCTGGAATTAAAACTCAGGTTAACAATCAGCATTTGTAGAAACATGCAAGTTAGGGTCACAATATATTGCCATTCTGTACCCATCATATTGGCAAAAGATACGAAGATTGATAATACCAAGTGCTGACGAGAATGTGGAGCAACAGGAGCTCTCAGACACTGTTTTCCCACTTTGGAAAACAAGTTTCTTGTAAACTTGAGTTTTCACATACCTTCAGTTCAACTCTTTGCCATACAGGTATCTGTTGTTTTCCCAAAATTCACTTTACACCACTTTGCTTTTACAAAAGACCTTCACTACTACCTGTTTTCGTGGATACGAAACAGGTGAAAAGTGAAAATGGCACTGACTGTCGTGGTGTGAGCCATTATAGACGCAGCAATCACCCCAAGGGAGTGGCGCCACCAAGCGCCTTCCCTAGGAACTGCACTCGGCATCTCTGCATCGAGCTGCCATAGCTTTGACCTGTGTCTGTGAGCATCTGTGCTTTATCTCAGTTTATTTTGTGCCTCCGCTAGCAAGATGCATCCTAAGGTAATTGCTTGTTCGCTTTACACATTTTGGCTTGTGAAAGGTTTCATAGGAATGCTCGACTTTCGGACAGTGGGGAAAACCTGTATGTCCTAGAGACGCTCTGTGCTTATACACTGGGGCCCATGAACAAAAGTGATCACAGCAGCATTGATAATTAAAGGCTGAAACTGAGCCGATCAGAGACGGGCAGGAGACAGGAACCACCCCAGTTATTGTAACAAAGAGAATTTAATATAAAGAATTGCTAACTAGATATAAAGCTGTTAATTTGGTGACTAAAAGGTTATAAAAAGAACACTAAGATAGAACGAAGTTAGACCTGCAGGATGCAACTATCATTCCTGAGGCTGAGGAAACAAAGAGAAGAGGCTGAAATGATCAAAACTGGAAAATGAGGAGGAGAAGTCTTGTAGAGCTAAACTTTGGGCATCTGAGAAGGCAGAACTGCTCAGTGAGGGCTCGAGTCTGGAGAGCTGAGGAGGACCAGGGAGGGCAGGAACTCAGACTTGAGGGGATGCTGACCATGTGAGACTGATGTCTCAGAGCTTAGGGGGAAGGGCCACACTGGGCTGGGACCTAGAGCCTTGAGAAGGGGGTGCTGGCTGGTGCCACGGGGAGGAGTTGCTGCTGTGAGGTGAAGGAGCACCACAGGAAGCTACAGAGAACAAAGGTGAAGAAGCAAGTCTTTGCTCCCTCCTCCAGCCCTGCCCTGCTTCTCGACAAAGTCAAACAAAATCTAACCCAGAGCAGTTAATAACGCAGAAATGTGGTTTCTGAGGCTTCAGTCCCAGTATCCCAGAGCAGGTAATTTAAAATTTTTAAGTATTTATTTTTAATGGTGGTAAAATATAACACAAGATAAATGTGATCATTTTAACCATTTTTAAGTGTATAGTGTCCTCAAGTACATTCCTGTAGTTATGTTACCATCACCACCATCCATCCACTCAACTCTAGTCATCTCACAACACTGAAACTCTGCACCCATCAAAACACTCCCCACTCCCCAGCTCCTGACAACCACCACTCCACTTTCTGTCCCGGTGAATCTGACTACTCTACGTAACTTGTGTGAGCGGAAACATACTGTATTTGTCCCTTTGTGACTAGCTTAGTTCACATAGCATAAAGTCTTCAAAGTCCACCCATGTTGTGGCACGTGCCAGAACTTCCTTCCTTTTTAAGGCTGAATGACATTTCACTTTATGTATGTATCATATCTTTTTTATCCATTCAGCCACTGACAGAAATATTTTTTACATTATCATATGTTATATAAAAATTCCAGGTTAGTCTGACTATAAACATTGTACATATAATGCACCCGCCCCCCATATACACACACTTTGCCTCTGTATGCAATGAATTTACTTTTTCAAAGCCTTAAAAACAATATCCTAACAATATGCAAGAAGATTTTCAAAAATAAAAAGGACTAACAATAATCAATTGGACCATCTTAACACTTTTATTTTCACTTGTGCCATTTTAAAGTCTTTCTTTTAGAATTTTTCAAAGTTACAGCTCCAGCACCCCATACAGCTGAAGGTTCTGCCAAGTCATGCACCTCGTTGCCTGCCATATATTGCTGCCAACCCTGAATGAAAGAAACACCATTTTTTCATGATTTCTCTGCTTTGCTGCTTTGAACATCTGGATTATGTTCCTCAGGACTGTTTTGGTTGCAAATGAGGGAAACCCTACTCAAATCAGCTTAAGCAAAAACAAACTGGTGCCTGTGTTCGTGGGCGGTGGTTGTGGTGGGATTCACTGGTTTCTGTGCCCGAGGGACGGCAGGACTAACTCACAGAACTAGGACCTGAAACCAGGGACTAAAAAAAGCCAGCACCCTCAGCACCCTTCCTCTCTCCCCATCTCTCCTGTGGCCCTCTCTCTGCTTCTCTTTGAAGATTAGCCTCTTTCTTTCCTCCTGCAGGCAGGCCCTCCTCACCTGACAGGGAACACGGGCCCTGCCAGCCCCAGCTTTGCAACTGCAGTAGAACAAGCATCAAAAGCGCAACACCAGAGAAGGGCCGTGATTGGCTCTGCTGAGTCACATGCCCACCCATTGGGCCAATCATGTTGCTAGGATGACCTGAATGACAATTGGCCAGGCCTGGTCACATGCCCATCCCTATGCCCAGGGTGCTTGTAGGGACTGTTGCTTTCAGATAAAAGGGGAATAAAAAGTCCTGCTGGGAAGACAGAAAACAACCATCAAGTCACTACACATGGGCTGGTTTTTCACCATGGCAACACTAGATAAACATCCTGGCACACTGAGCTCTTTCTTTGTTTTAACAATCGCCTTGTGAGAAATTCCCAAGGATGGGATTACTGCCACAGTACTTGTCAGAAGTCATGCAACATGTTTGTCTTTTCCAAGTGTGTTCACATCTGATATGTTATTTGTGCAAAATCTCTGATAAGAGACAGGAGAGGGAAGAGTGACACAGAGAAGCTGAGTGACAGGTTCAGGGACACACAGTGGATGAGGGCAGGGGTGAACTCCAGCCCTGACTTCTGGACTCTCATTCCAGTGCCCTCTCCTAACAACACCACAACCGAAGTTTAGACTGGTGGGAGAGGTTTCATGTCCAGGCTCATCTCTGGCCCATTAAGGGAGGGAGCTGCGTCTGCTGTCTACCCCTTGGAAGAGATGGGCCAGGGCCCTGAAGGAGGAGGGCTGGCGGCCCCTGCCTTCAGAGCCTGCTCGAGCTCTGATGGGGGAGGTCCCTCCACTGGACCTGGCGTCCTCCCAGTGAGCACTCTCTGCACGCAGCTCCTCCAGGACACTGTGAAGATGCCTCAGCGTGAGCAGGAGTCTCTGGTCTTGGACCTGCATCTCAGCCTAGGAGAGAGAATGAGTCTGTGAGGGGCGAGCAGAGCTGGACATTCCCCAGAGAGCCTATTCCCATCACTGTCTCACTGGGGACAAGCCCAACCTCACAGAAGCCACGTCCACCACAGCCTCAGTTTCTTCATCTGCCAAGCAAATTACTTGCCTTTCAAGGCTCTCTCCCCTGTTGTAGATCCCAACAGGACTTTGGGGGCTTACGTGGTCCCAGGAGAGGAGGGAGAGTACTGGACTTTCATTCATGGTAGTCATTGGTGTTCCTAATTTGTTCCTTCTGCTGCATAAAGTGACGGACATGCAGTGACTGACACGTTTCCCTGATGGTCAATGGGGCTTCTTGGCTGGGCTCCAGAGGGAAGCCCTTATGGAGTCATGTGAATTCCACAGGATAGAGGTTAAAAACAGGCTTGACTGGGAAATTTACAAGTCAGGGATTAGCAAGTGGAGACTCAAGGCTCCCATCTCTTGGCATCACATGAAGGGGGAGCGTTTGGGCTTGGGAGGCTGTGTCCCGGGCAGGTTTTCCCCTTTCCCCCTGACCTGTTGTCCCTTCTCACGGGTGGGAGAGAGGTACTTTATCAGGTGGAAATCAGCAGTCTCAGTGTGGGCACCCAGTGTTTAGGGGAGCACAGGGAGTGACTGGTGGGAGGGGCTGACCCAGGGGCTTCTCGTGGGCCCGGGAGACTCCAGCAGCAGCAGCTCCAATCTCTGGATCCCCAAGAACTATAAGAAGCTGCGTCTCCTGCTGCTGGAGACCCCTGAGCCCATGAGAAGCCCGACTGGGTCAGCCCCTCCCACCCGGGTGAGGACAGGCTTGGGTCCCAGCTAGTCTGTTGCCTGGCAACCCAGACAAGTCATTTTCGGACAATCCTGTCTGTCCCTCCCCAGAAGTAGAAGATGGCGAATTGGGATACAAACCATGGGTGCCCTCTGGGGTTCCCCGAACCACCTCCTTCTCTCTCTTGGCTGGTGTCTCCACCCACTTTGGGGCACCCCTCTATTTTTGGACTTGGAGAAAGCAGCACAAAGAGAGGCATAAGGCCTGGCTTCCTGAGCAGATACCGAGGGGGACCAAGTAACAGAAGTTCAGGAGAGTTAGTGCCCCATGGGGTGGACCTTTAATGACAGGAAATGGGAGACAGGAGTGAGCTGGGCAGATAAACTTCCTCTTCTCTTCCCCAGGGTGAAGACCCTCTGTCAACCGCTGCAGAGAATCCTGCGGCCAGGTAACCAGTGGCTGAGAGGGCCGCTGGGCTCCTTCTAAAGTGGCAGCCGGCACGGTAGGCTCACAAGGCATCTCCTGCGATAGCCCTGGCCTTTGTCTCCACTTCTTATTTCCCTCACTGTCACTGCTCTGGGCTTGCACCTCCAAATAATCCTTGTGCAAGCCTCTGCTTTCTAGAGGAACCAGGCTAAGACAGTGATTGTACTCCTTATCCAACTGGGTCCGGGTTGTAACAGCCAGCATCGCTGTGCCAAGCAGACACTAAGCGAATTACACCATCTCCTCACCAAATTCCTGCAATAACCCTTGGGATGCTGGCACTGTGACTATCCCCATTTTATGATAAGGAGACTGAAGTTCAAAGAGGTAAAGCCACTTGCTGGATGCCACGCCGCAGTAGAGCCGGGCACGTACCAGGACTCAGTGGAATTCTAAAACTAGTCTGGCAAGCACAGCACCCAGCACCTCCTATGTAGGCCACGACCTACTTATCTCAGCACTGGAGATGGCGATCGTGTGCCGTGTGACCCGTCCCAGAGGGGTGCCTGCAGGGTCTACACCCCAGCTGGCAGCCTCTGCCCCAGCCTAGGGGGCACCTGCATGGGGGTACCAGGGAGCCTCAGAAGGCATGGGATGAGGGCGTCAGGTAAAAAGACAGGCAAAGCCTTACCAGCTCCTTTCTCAGCCACTCCAGGGTCTGCCCAAGACTTGAAGTCGGCTCTTCTGCTGTTTTCATCTCGGTGTCCTTGGGAGAGACCTCAATGCTGACCTGGTGACGGGCCTAAGGGACCTTTGACTTGCACAGTGTGCTACTTGCTTCAGGCTGGGAGCAGGGTCTGGCCAAGTCATGAAGGATGGAGTTAATGACAGCAGAAAGTGGCTCACTTTGGGAAATGTAGCGTGTGTGTGTGTGTGTGTGTGTGTGTGTGTGTGTGTGTGTGTTTTAAAGGGCTTCAGTGCTCTGAACAGAACGAGGGAAGATCATTGGGGTGAGAGGGAGATCATTGGGGTACAGATGCCTCAGTGCCTGCAGGATCCAGAATCCAAATCTGATGCCGACAGGATCACAGGGACGATAAAGCTTTAAATGATAAAATTAATCATTATTAGGAAAATAGGTGTCCCCTAACTGAGGGCTTGTTTTGCTCTAAATGCCTTATATAGATATAGACAGAAAATCTCATTTGGGGAGGACGCCACATATGCATTCCCAGCCCCCTTCCTCCCTCCCTTGACTATCGATAGAGTCTATAGATAAAGGGAAATTCTCTCTTTTCAAGCTCTCTTTCTTCTGGATGCTCATGCGACTCATTTCTAGCAAATGAGATCAAAGCAGAAATTTGCCGTTAGACTCCTAGGAAAACGTTACTTACCTGATAAGGGAAACTGTCGGGGATGAACCCCCTTTACTCTTGCTTTCTTCTCCTTCCTTCTGCCTTGAATGTGGATATGATCCCTGGAGCTACAGTAACCAAGTCGCAACCCTAAGACAAAGGCGAAGAAAACTGCAGAGGCATTGAAATCACCAAGTCACAGAATCACCAAAAGCATCTGTCTGTGACGTGAAACAATAAACCTAAGTTTTAATTGGGCAAACAGTCCTAACAGATGCATCATTTATTCCTCACAACACACTTTGAAGGGGTATACTTTAATACTCTCTTTCAACAACACTTATTGAGTGCCTACTGTGTGCCAAATTCTGCTGTAGGCACTGGGGATAGGGTCCCAAATCAGAGACAAAGACTGTGCTTTCGGGGAGCTGAGGATGAAAACAAACTATAATCAAAGTAATATTATAATGAAAATAAGTAGGATCTATTCACATGTAGGTTTTTTTTTTTAAATCATTCGATCCACATGAACTAGGAACCCTAAACTAAGAATTAACATAGCGATCCCAGACAAAGAGCTGAGGTGACCAGCAAAGCAAAATAGGACCTGCCCTCAACCCAGGCTACACAAGTTGTCCACAGATAAAGCTCCACTGAAGATGAACTCATAACCCCAAATTAAAAAACACAAGGGACCCATCCACCATAAGTGACAGTCAGCAGACACCAGCAATAGCAGGATTAGACCCTTCTTCCCCTACGAACTTCAGATAAGATGACAAAGAAGTATTTGAGAGGAATTAAAGTCTTATGAGAAGAAACTGAAAACATAAGGAAAGACTATTTAAAAAGCCTGATTTCAAAAGAACTAAATAGAATTTATAGAAGTTAAAATAGGAAATGTTTATAAATTAAAGAAAAAAGAGTGGACATTAAGCTTAGTCCCAGAAGATAGAGTTAGGGCAGTGGGTACAGGACATAGGGAGGCGGATTGAGACTGAGTAGGAGGAAAGTGTTGCTTAGAATTCTGCCAAGTAGCGGGCACCAGTCCGTGGAGTGTGGACCTGCAGCCTGGATGATCAGGGAGGCTGGAGAAGGGGCTCTGCTGGCTCCAAGGTAGGGCCTGTGGCATCCTTCCAAGTGTGAGACTGACTGGGCAGGGAAGGGGGCCAGGACACTGTTTGGGAACCCAGGACACCTGGTTTCTAATCCCGGCTCTACCAAACTTTCTATGTGAGCTGGGCCTCACCCTTTCCATCTTAGGCAGAATGATGCTCAAAATAATTACAAAAATGAGTTGTAAGAAACATCACATTTCTTATACCCTGGAGTTTATAGCGTGAGATGCATTCTGACTGCCATACGCAGAGAAAATTCTATGTGCAGTTTCTCCTGGTTTAGCTGTCACTGTTTAGAACCAAAGAGGATCCAAGAAACTCTCGCATGCCACATTTACACCCCTTTTGAATACAGGGACCAGAGATGATTGCTTCCAGGCAGGTCACCGGGCTTTGTGTCACATGACCCTGTAATTATAGGGCAGCTGCCTGGATCAGTGCTGGGTGCCCCAGCCCAAAGCAGCCACCTGCAGACCAGACAGGAGGGAGACCCTCGGCTGCCCTGAGGGTGATTGGTGTGAAAGTGCTCTGGGTGGTGATCAAATAACCCAATTGGATCTCCCCTCAGGGAGTCTGAATTTGCCACAGATAGAGGGGGTTGGAATGTCACAAGGACACCGTGTAACAAACATTTCCCAAACTCCATACCTTCAAATAATAATTGTTATTTTCACTCCTGAGTTTGCGGGTTGGCTGGGATGGTCTGCATCAGGCTTCAGGTCTGCAGATCGGAGCCTGCTCCATGGGTCTCCTGTCCTCCTCCTGGAATCCCCGGACTATCGGGACAAGTTCTTCTCTTGGCAACGGTGGAGGATATGACAGCAAGTGGAACCATGTGAGGCTTCTTAAGACCTAGGCTCAGAGCTGCCACTGTCACTTCTGCCATGTGAGCAAAGCGAGTCACACAGCCAAGTCTGGAGTTAAGAGGCCAAGACGTATACTCCACCCATGAAGAAATCGTGCCCCACATGTGGAGTTAAGAGACAAAGGAAGAAGCGGGGCTGGCAATTCTACAGCAGAAGGAAGTTAGTTCAGAAGTGGGGCCACAGGCCTGGAAGATGGTGAGCAGACACTATGAGGGGGCAGGAGCCGGGTGCCAGTGGCAGGAGACACAGAAAGGACTAGAGAGACTTGAAGGATGATTTAGGACAACTAACGTTTATTGACCTCCTACTCCAGACCACATGCTGTGATAAGCTCTTGACCTACACAACCTCATTTCTTCCTCCAAACCTTATCACTGCAGGTCCCAAACTGAGTGCCAAGTCACCCAGAGGCTTTGCAAAACATTTTAAAATTTTCAGGGAAACACAATAAACATCTGTTGGCCACTGTACAAACTATTATTGTTAAGTTGTTTGATCTTAATTTAACAAGCAACTGTTAGACATTTCTTTGGGCCTGGTGCACTCTGAAAACAAATGACTGAGATGCGAAGGGTGCCATGAGCTGAGAAAGTCTGGGAACCTCTGCCTATGAAGCAGGTACCATGGTTATCTGCATTTCAGAGCTGAGTATAGATACATCCCATTGTTAACCCCTTCTTACATGTGAGGAAACTGAGGCTCAAAGAGGCAGAGATTTTCCTGGGATTATCAAGCAGGTAAGCAGCAGGGACCTGCTCTCCCTGACCTGTGTGGGAGGATCTTGCCTGGCATCCTGCAGGGGCTGGGGGGTCAAGCAGGGCTAAGCTAAACCACCTGCTGCCCTCCCGTGCAGCCCGGCAGGTTCTCTGCCCGACACAGCAGTGGTATTGATAGGGGTGCTTGGCAATTAGAGTCTGACACTCTGTTCTTGGCCTCCAGGCCAACACCTAATTACCCTGGAAGCCAGTGCTTGTGGTTAACTTGTTTTGATGCGTTTTCATTTATTTTTAATCCCACTCTCAGAATTCTGGCTTAGAGCACATTTTCCTTCCTAGTCTTAGAAAGGCTTGGCACATGGGGATAAGGGGAGGTGTGGAGCCAGGAGGCCTGGAAAAGGAAAGAACTTAAACCCCTCAGTGAGGAAAAGTCTCTTCACCAATGATCAAAGCCAGAACGGCCATGCACTCATCATCCACGAGCAGCCAGTAATATGGCTTCCATGTGCCAGACAGATCTCGTGCTGGATGCCAGGGGTGCAGCGGTGAGCAAGGAAGGCTTCACACATGACTTCACAAGGCTTATGGTCCAGCTACTAAGAGAATCCATTAGCAGCCAAGTGTTTCAAAAATTGTACTTTATAGCACAAGCCTGGCGTGTATGTATGCATGAATGAATATATCAATGAAGTAATTACAAAATTTGCAAATGAAGAAACGATGGCTCAGATGAAGATGTGAGTTGCCCAAGCAAGTCAGCAGCTGTGGCAAAATGGCAGGTTGTTCCTTATTTTCCCTTTTCCCATTCACACGTGGCAAAGAACAATTCCTAGACTCCCTTGCAGGGAAGTGTGGTCAGATGATTAAATCTTGGCCAGCAGGATATGAATGGAAGTGAGATGTGCAATTTCTGGGTTGTGCCCTTAAAAGGGGGGAGAAGGATTCCTGCCCCTTCCCCTGGTTCTCCTCCTGCTGACTGGAATATAGTCAGAAGGGCTGGAGGTGGAGCAGCCATCTTGGACTGCTGGATGGAGGATGGCAGAGCAACAAGACAGAAAGAACAGGGGTCTCTCGTGATTGGTGAAGCCGCCGTGTCAGCCTTAACTGCCAAGTATACTTTTACATAAGAGTAAAATGAGTTCTGTTTCACTGAAGACACTATCATTTTGAGCCTCTTTATGACAGGAGTCAAACCAATCTGCTTAAAATACAGCAGCAGAGCTAGCAGGAGAAGCCAGTTTCCTTGTTTCCCCCACTCAGGCTCTTCCATAATCCCACTACCTACATATTTTATTCTTGCCCAGATGTTTTCTTGTTTGTGACCTGATCTGTGAAGTCCATAGCAGGGAGAGGACTTCCGTAATGCTAACTGGGCGAACAGGAAACCCAAGACGCAAGAGTGGTAGGTGACCTGCCCAGAGACACAGGGGCAGAATTATCCCCATCTCTTGGATGGGACAAGTGGGCTCAGAGATGTCGCTGAGCTCTGCCTCCATGTCTGACTCCTAGTCCAGGGCCCTACCCACCCTTGATGGCTGTCCCCTCTTTTATCCTGGACACCTTAGCCCTCATCCCCACTATTACAAAATACAAATGAGGTGGAAGTTTAGCAGAGAGAAGCTTCCACATTTTGAGAGCCCTCAAATGCAGCCTTCCAACCACACAAGCACACGCCATCACGCCAGCCACAGGGAGCACAGGGATGGGTACCACTTGGCTTAGGGGTACCTGTGCTATTTATCCCCTTCCAGCAGGCACCCCAGAC